TGATACAATTATGCATCTGAAAGAGTATGTTATCCTTGTGGGAGGCTTCTGAACTAATAGCATGGAAGGTGGCATGCAGGGTTGTGCACAAGAACACTGGATACAAAGATTGTAGGTCAGAAGGTCCATTATTTAAAGGGAAGGGGAGAAAACCTAACTTAACTGCTGAACTCGCTCTGGAGCTTCATCTTTGCCTATCTAGATGGACTTGCTTTTTCTGCGGACTGGCTGACTTCCTGATGAATCATCTGGTTAAATTCAGGACTTGTGTTCTTGAGCTAATGTATCACTACGGGAATTCTTTATCTTTGATAAGAATAATGCATTTATTATGCTGGGTGCTTGAAAGTAATGATGTCCTTAAGTATTTGGTTTCTTGCTTTTAAGTGGTTTGGCTTTGTAAATTTTGTGCAAGACATATATTCTTGCTGCTTAGCTGCTTTTAGCTAAAGGTTTTCTTTGTGGAATTTTATTTATATTATATTAAGTAATGTTTGGGGTGATATTTATGTTGCACACTTCACACCAATAGTTTTGGATTCAGCTAAAGCAGTCACTGACATTTCTTCAAATGGCAGTCAAAACAAATCAGAGTACTACTTTTTAAAATTTTCCTTTGTTTGGAATAATAATCTCACTTTTGTCAAAGTCAGAAAGTCTCTCTGAAACAGTTTCATTTAAATGAAATGGCAAAACTCATACAGCTGCTTTTAGATTTTTCAACTAGCTCAGCAGAGATGTGCTGACAGTAGCGTCACGAAGCTTATAGTATCAGGTTGTTTCTGTCATGTGGATCGAGGATTTCATTCTCTAGCTTTGTCAGCATAGCTTGCTTTAGTACTAATGTTTCCCTTATTAGCTTCCCCATGCCTGAAAATGCAGATCTGTTTCTCCATCACTTCCTTTTCTTTCTCATTTATCTTTTGTAGTAGTAAATACACAATTAAAGATGAACATTGGATATTATTTGGAGCATCATTGCTTTTAAAATCAACTTTCAAAATTGTAATAAGATCTCTTCTAACTTAGTGTCAACTCTTATAATAGATTAAGAATTAAAGTTATCTTATCCCACCAAACAGTCCAGGGTTCCTAGGTGTTTTGTGGATGAAAATAGTGGTAGTTGTTATACAAAGTCACTGGGCTGAATTCGGCCCCAGTGAAACACTAGTGAAACGCCAGTGATGCAGAGATGCAACTTTGGGAATGCTTGTACTTGCTATAGATTATATATACTATAGCCACAAGAGAATGCACATCCACGTTTCAGTGAGTCCCCAGAATGGCTTAGTGAGTGTTTCTTCTGCCTTTTTTGGACAGGAAGCCCTTGAACTTACAGGGCTGTTACATCTATGCATTAGATCTTCAAATCATGCTGTGATAGGAGAAGTACAATATGGCATTATAAGGGTGTGGGCACATAAATTACTCAGAAGTAAACTGTAATAAAACTTGCAGTGTGTCAGCTGCTTCCAGTCCCATTTGGCCACACTTTACCCCACTTTATCTCTCTGTAAAAGTAAGGATACACGTGCCTCCATGTAAGAGAGGTAAGCTACACTGTACTTCCTGTATTTATTGTACTGCACACCCCTGGACTTTTATTTGCTGCCTTTTTTCCCATGTTTTTATACTGTGTGATGGACATCTCTTTGTTATTAATTCAGCTGAATTAACATAAAAATATTTACCTTTGGCTCCAGTGTTATACCTCCCATTCATACTTCTGGAAGCCTGATGGTAGTGGCTTACTACGTATTTATTTGTTAGCTGCCTCATTTGTGTTCTGTAGCATACCAAGACAGTGAGACACAGGTGCAGCACCGTCTTGCTTTAGATGCATGAGGTTGGCTACATCTGGGTCTAATCAACTTCATTCAGTCCAGTTTACAAGGTGTGGTATTTTGTTCAAAGGTTACATACCTTTATATTAGGAAGTATATACTTCAGTCACCTCTGCCTTTGTGCTACTCAAATAACGTTAGTAGACATGGAAAGAAGAATTTGGTCGTTCCTCTGGGAGCAATCTCTGAGTGGGCAGAAGCCACAAGCAAAGGTCCTCCCTGCATGGGCAGGTCAACTCTTGCATTTGCAGTAGTAAGTCAGGCCACATTTGGAACACACAAGCCTGCATTTCTGCCTGTGACCCCACGCTGTTCTGGTGCAGGGTGTAACAACCTACTACTGGAAAACAAAGCTACTGGAAAACAAAAAGTACATTATGGTGGAGTTTTTAATTGGGCAGGAGGAAAGAAAGCTAGAGCTACGGCTTCCACAGAAACCCGTGGGATGTCGTGAAGCCTGCTTTCTAATGAATTTGTATTTGTGGATGTTGTCTTTTTTTCTAGCTTCTAATAAGATGTCAGCTCAATTTTCCAGTCACTGGGGCAGCATTCAAAAGGTCAGAGCTGTGTCTGTTCCTCTCGTTAACGCAGGAGGTGTGCTGCTGTGACCTTGTCCCAGTGGGGTGCATTCTCTCAAAGTTCGTTGAAAGTAGCCAAAGAAATAAAAAGTTATTCAGCAGAGGGGCTGGAGAGAGATGATGAATACACAGACACATGGTGTGATTATAAAACCTCGTTTCCATAGGAAACCAGGCTAATTATAACTATAGTGCACCAAAAGTGAATCTATCATATAATTCCTCAGTGGTCTATGACTTCATTCCTCCTTAGCTCAAGCAGATTTGATAGCTTTCACCTATCTATACCTGGGAATGTGAACTGCAGGCATATGACTTGCACCCTTGTGCATGAGGCCTGATTCAGAAAATCGAGAGCTTTCCAGTCTTGGCTTCATTTTGTGCCTAATTCCTCATGTGGGCAGGGAGCAAGCTGCCAGCTTGTACTACTTAGCTTCCCTGAAGATTCAGAATATTAAGAATGCACTGGCCTTATTATCCATACGTAGGCTTGGGATTGTGAGCGTGCAGGGCACGTACGTGGGGGAAGCACTGTATATCTTGGGCAGATGGGCAGGGAGAGCACAGGCAGGCTCAGGGTGCAGCTCCGGTAGGTCTGGTCAGAAGACAGGGATGAGGACACGTAACACTCAGCATTTGCAAAAACTGACCCTCTTTTCCACTTAGAAATCTAGGAGCTTCCTTTGATTCTCTCTTGTAGCGTGCTCTATGCACCCATAGACTGCATTACTGGAAGTCTATTTTTGTTGTGTCTGCTTGACATTATTCATATAATATTTATTAAGCTTTATGAACATTGCCTATAGAGCATTTCTTTTCTAGTGGCTTATTCTGAGCTGTTACTTAATAATGAGTGGTCTGCCTGTGCTTTTTAGTGTATAGTTAAAGAGATTCCTTGGAAAGTGAACAAATCTCTCTCAAAGAAATCATTACAGATACTTGGCTATCATTCCTTGTGAAACCAAGAAATTTTTAACTTGTGTTTTGCAAATATATTAGTCATAAAGCAGAAGTTCTTCAGACTCATCCACCAAACCTTATACCCTGAGAGTATGGCCTTGCAAACTGATCCTCTTTCTGGCCCCGATTCACTAAATAACTGAAGGATATGCTTAGTACCACAAAGTAGTCTTAGTAGACTAAGCCTCAACTTGTAGGAAGTGATGCCTTTCTTATTAGGGATCATTAGTAGTACCTACATGCTAAATAGCTTATCTGCTTTTGTGCAACAGATTCTTTGTATATGAATCAGAATAGTCATAAAGGATTTGCCTGAAAATTTTCACGTGTACATCTTGAAGGTACAAAGTCTCACTGAGCCAAAAGCAGCAGCAGAATAGCAGCCCACTTGCTTTCAATAACACAGAAATGATTCAACATACTCATTTCAACATCAAGATAAATGCAGTGACTTGTTTTAGATGAAGTAAGTGTGCCTAGTTCCCTTCACCTGTGTGGTCAGTGTGGTTTATGTATGAGTCTGAAATGAATTCTAGTCTTTTACATCCCAATGCTCCTTGACCTGCAATGCTGATGATAGATTTAGGCCCAAAGTAAAGACCATTTAAAAAATAAATTTCAGAAGGCTTTTAGCAAATCCTGAGTGTTGAAAATCCTGCCTGCTACAAATTGTGCAGGGATATAGTAATGCTCTGTTTAAAGAACAGGAACGTGAGAAGAGATTAAACTCACTGTGAGACTGCAACTGCGAGACAATGCGTAAGGGCGTTCCATGACTATAATGATAAAGGCTTTGGCCTTTCAATTATATGCATGTGTCCATTGCTATGATTTGCCTTTTACTGTAGGTAAGTATTTACATATAAAAATGTTGTTAGTATGTCGTGTCTGTGAAAGAACTTTACAGACTATGGTTGAACTGTAATTAATTTTAATGACTAAGAAATATGGTGCTCATCACAGATCAGCAAACAGATCACTCAGCTGCAAATTAATGATTATGAACTTTAGAAAAAGAATTGAAAGAAGCTGCCTCTCCAAAAGCATTTTATACATTTGTTTTGACTAGTCCTGATTAATTATTTAAAATTCTTCAGTGGTAAAGATACTTGGGAACATGTTCTGAAGTGCTAGAAAAAGGAGATCAAACTACAGCATTTTGCTGTTAAATCATAACTGAGAAGCAGGGTAAGGTGACAGAATTTTTCAGAAGGGGTTTCCTTTTTATAGGTAACTAATGTTTCATTTTGTGTCTATTTTTGTAAGTTCATCATTTAGGAAAGGCTGCAGCTGCATTATCCTGAGAATGCAATATTTTAAGAGGTTTTACAATGTCTGTCAGTTTTACAGATTTTTCTTAAGAAATAAATAATATCCACAGCTAATCAAAAGAAGAATAAGTCTTGTAAAATTGAAATTTGAACACATCCTTAGACCTTTTTTTGTGAGCAGAACTCAAGTATACTGTATGAAGATGTACTACTTGTGGTTGCAAAACTGAGTAGAGGTACAAATAGTAGATTATAAGGAATAAAGAGGTGGAAAATGACTTTAAAACTTTTAGTAGTCTCTTCTCAAAATAAACTGTTACAAGTGTATCTTTTATTTCTTTCTGTAGGCTTTTCCAGCAAATGGAGTTACGGTTTTTGTGTACTGCAGCTCTGTGACAGTGTTCTTCACAGTAATAAAGGTGATCAGTTACCGTCTGCACCTTATGTTTGATAAAGGTGAAGTAATTCAACAAAAGCTCTCAAGAAAAAATGGAAAACAATGTAAAGATACAGAGGTTCCAAAAGGAAACACAGTTCAGCCCTCAGATCGTAGGTAAGGTCTTCATTGCACGTTACTGTTACATTCTGTAGAACAGATGAATTTGCATCATGGTCCTGCATAGCATAAATGCCTGTTGACTGTAGGAAAATGACTTACAGTTGCATGAGGAATGGCACTTTTAAAACACTGTTTAGTGCTTATGTTTTCGGTGGCTACATCATGCCTATCGTGAAGCAGGCAGAGCTGCACCTGATTCAGAGGGTGGGGCAGTAGCTGGGCATCATGAAGGCAGTAGGAAGAGACCTGTCTGGGAGGTGCTAAAAGGTCCTGAAGAAAACCTGGGAGAAGTTTTCTGGGGAAGCCTTATATGCTTGCTCTTTCATCTTCCTGCTGTGCTTATCTGCTGGGAAGAGGAGAGGAAGTGGCATGTGTGCATTGGCAAAGAAAATGCTTTAATATCACAGCTTTGAAAGCCTGAGCTCCTGTTGCCTTTGTGTGCTTATAGTAACTTCCCTCTCAGATCAAACCTAGATGCCTAAGTTGCTTTTCCCCTTTATGTTTTATTGTGACTGCCTATGGTGCTTCTGTGGCCCTGATCATGAGGAAAGCTAGAACCGCTTTTATTCCTCAGTGGCATTTGGTAGGTATTTGCAGCCTTTCTACTGGGGAGCCAAGTACTGTGTCTTTGCTGCAAATAAAGTCAATAAGGCTGCTTCCAGGTTGAGGTGGTATTAAAGGTAAAAATAGCATTGGGCTAAAGACTAGTACTGACATTTTCCAGATTTGTGTATAGGTAGAATATTCCACTGTACACTTTTTGGAACAAACGGAGACCTCTCTTGCTGATTTTTCAAGCTTGAGTCATACAAACAAATGAAGCTGGCAAGAAGCATCCAGTGTTCCCAAGTGTTATGACAGATGTGAAAAATGCTGAAATAAGGTACATCCAATACTGATGGCAGCATAGAAATGTCCAAACAAAGCTTAAAGGAAGTAAGTTTGTTATGACTACCCATCAAACTTCAACAGAGAGCTCTGTATAAAAGAACTTAGTTTGAGGATTTTTTGGTGCATTTGCAGTCACTATTGCTAGCTCTGTGCAAGCTAAGGAGTATCAAGATTGCCACTGCTCTTCTGTGTCTTTACGCATGCACGTCTGTGCTACGCTCCTGGCAGTGACATTGCCGGGAGTGTCAAGGTCTGCCTGCATTGAGACTCTTCTGAGAAACACCTCTTGCGTGTCACTAACTATAGAAGGTTTTTATTTTTTGTTGGGTTGATGCCTTTCAGGCTCTATTCCTCTTTAGTTCTCACCACCTCACAAAGCTGTTTCCTATTTACAGATGTCTGATACAGGTATTTAAGAGCCTCATCAGTTGTAGACTGGCTCAAACAGAACCTCAGTGTTTCCCTGTTCACTAGCTAATTAAATGGATGCAAACTTTCATTATCATGCCTTTCTTTTGGCTGAGAAGTAGAGGTAGAATCACTTAAAACTTAAGTGTTAAATCACATAACTATTCCTCCTAGCTGATCCTAGGCACAACAGTTTATTATTAAGTACTTGATCAGAAAATAAAGACCTTAATGTTTTGACTAGGTGGGTTACAGAAGTTTTTAAACAGGCCCTGGTAGTTGGCAGGTTGGTCAAACGAGTTTTTGAAGCCACCTAACTACAAAAAAAATTGTGGAAAGGTGACTGAGACCCCCAGGTAAATAATTTTATAGCTTATATACAGCTATAGGGTTTTAAAAATATTTTTTTTGGGAAAAACCCAACCTCACAAACAAACAAAAAAGCCCAAACCCATGCTTTTTGACATTTCACTATACTGTTGATTTATTTTATTTTTTTTTTAACTGATTTTTTTGTTGTGTTATACCTGAGAGAGAGAACATGTGTTGGTTCTCATTAGTAGACCTTGACCAAGAATACTTGCTTATATCCATGGAAAAACTAGTAGAAAATATGTGTAAAAAGAGTTAGTGGATAGTTGAATGCGTCCACAAAGGAAGTGATCAACGAATTGCCTTATAGCATGTGAAATTAGTAATGGATATATGTTTGCCTTGGTTAAAACCAGAAAAACAACTTTATTTTGTGGCCTAATGATTATATTGATACACATTCTGTATTGCATTTCAAATAGTTTTTTGATGAGAGGTTTGTAAATAAACAGGCAGTTAGATAAGCAATACATACACAAGGGTACAGTCAAAGGACATAAAAAGCAAAAATTGTGAAAGGAGTAGCATTTGTTACATGTCTAATGAGAAGCCTCAAACAGCATTTTGTGCCAATAAATCTGTGTGCACGTCAGGCAGGCTAAATGACATTGTATACACATAAGGAGTTTGAAGAGATGTCATTGTATTTCTACTTCCTAAAACAGCAGAATAATTTTATATTGAGGGATTTTTATTTATTTATTTTTAGCAAGTTACCTTGGTGAGAAAGGAGGTGCAAAAAGGGGTTACAGTATTTTTCAGCCCTGTAGTTTTAGCATTGGAGGGGAAAAACACGCTGTTACTTCATTGTGCTGTGCTACTTCTTCCTATTCTGTTGTTACTACTCAGATTCTTCCCAAAACTCACTGTGATCCTCTGTAGTAGGAAGCATTGTTTTATTTTTCGTTTGCTTCCTTTTCAGCAATAACACTGGGGATAATGGTGTCGTTGGTGAGACCAACCAAAATGACTCTACCCAAACAATTCATGACAGTTCAAGGGTACAGGCTCTGGACTTGCAGAACTCACCTGGAGCAATGGTTAGTATGCGATTTTCTGTAATAGTGTCTGCACTTCGTGCAGTCCACAGCTTACCACGTGGAGTTTTGTATTGCCTTTTACTGATCACTTGAAGTGTAGGCCTGCCCTGAGGAGGAAGGGTCGTTCTGTGGACCTACTAGGTATACCACTGCTGTCGATTAGCCTTGGCCTAAAGGTTTGGGTTTGCAAAGCTGAAGCTGGTATGCATAATTCTGCACTTCTTGGGTGGGGTCTGTCTGCTCTATAGATACCAAACGGCCTTTGTAAATCTTGCCAAGAGCAACTAGTTTTTGTAGCTGCTTTGAGAGAAGGGAGAGGCTAATGCAATGAGAGCAGCCTCTCATTGCCTCAGAAGGGTTCTGCTCCTGGAGCATTAATAATTTGGTTTTGCGTAACTAGACTTAGACTTACAAAATGAACCCGACACATCTCTTGAGTGTTTAAAGAAAGCACAAAAAAATTATTTAAATCTAGGGGATGTCCGCATGAGGTTAGAAATACATGTATGTGCATTCCATGCTATTGGGCATGCGTTCTAAATCAATACTGGATGAAGTAGATGTATGTAGATGTTATTAAAGAAAAAATACGAAACACCCATGAGAAGGTTGAAGAGTTGAGTATTCAAAAAATTAAGAAACGGAATAATGCTGTCCGTGTACTCTTTAAGCTACTCGCTATGTATACTGTAATAAAATCTTTAATTATGTGATCCCATGCTATTTTTTCTACAGGACTCCTGCCTCAGTCAGTGCAGAGGATGGTTAGTGATCTCTGAATAAGTAGCTATTTGATACTTCATTCTGTCTTCATATCCCTCCACCCCCGCCCTGTGTCCCTATTTATGGCAAACTATTCAAATCCTGGTCTGAATCAGAACTATTTCCTCATTTCCTGGAGTGTTTTTACCTTTTTGTAGCATCTGTATGATTCACAGACATTAATAGCTTTCTTTTATGAGGTAAAATATTTTTCACCTTGTTTCTGTCCTAGTCCACAGTATTCTGGTATTTGTCCATTCTGCAAACCCATTTCTTCTTGGGATCTTGTCCAAGTCTCCCACTTCCAAACATGTAGGTTGGGTCTTGTCAAATCTAGTCTCCTGTTCTTGCTGTCAGGTTACCACCATGAAATTTTAGGAGATAATAATTATTTCCTCTTGGTTTTGGTGCCTGTCAGCCAGAAGAGTCACATTCGTTATTCCCAGGTACTTTTTTACTAGTTATGCACTTAGGCTGTTGAATTTAGGCTACCGAAGTATTCCTCTGGAGTATTGTGTTTAGTTTTGAGCTCCCCAGTGAGTTCCCGCAGACAATGAACTGCCGATAAGAATCCAGCAGAGGCCACCAAGGTGATAGAGGAATGAGGTACATGATGTATGAGGACAGGCAGATGGGATGTTTTAGCCTTTGCAAGGCTAAAACCTTTTGTAAGACTAGAAGAGCTTACTGCTGTCTTCAGCTTCCTGATGGTAAGATACAAAAAAGATGGAGCACACTCTTCTCAGAGGTGCCCAGTGACAGAATAAGAGACAGGGACTGCAACTTGCAGCCATGGAAAGCTACAGTTAGATCAATTAGATTGAATGTTTTCCGTGTGTGGTTGTTTTGTTGTGTGGTTGTTTTTTTTTTTTTTTTTTTTTTTCCCCCTGCCAAGAGAGTGGTCAAATACTGGAAGACGTTGTCCAGAGAGGTTGTGAAATCTCCATCTTTGGAGATATTCAAAGCTCTGCTGGAGATGGCCCTGAGAAACCTGCTCTAACTGCTTTGAGTGTGTGTGTATGGTGGAGGGGATTCGGACTAAATGACCTCCAAAGCTTCCTTGCAACCTAAATGATTCTATGATAATTTAATGGCTCTGTCCTTTAGTTTTCCATTGAGAAATTCTTACCAAGTACTGGAGACCAAACTTTTCATTTTAGTGCTTTGGGAACACATAGCTGGAAAAGTGGAACAGCTGAACACATCCTATTCCTTAATGATTAAGAAAAAAAGTCTGGATTAGGCACCACAAAATGTTTTAGAAAAAAACCCTTAGATTTTTTTTTTCCTCTCCCCAAACATCTCTCACAATTGCAATGATGCATTTTGGAGCATGATTGTTCTACAACCATCTCCCTCACCCAGCCCTTGCATTTTGTGCAAGGTACATGTGCAAATTTCAGTGATGTTGAGCAGCTTACCAGTGCTGTAATTAACCTTTGATTAGATAGCTATTCCATTGATAGATGTGTTTTCCCAACAGAATTTAATAAATGCCCATCCTCATTTTTGTGTTTCTTTTTATTTTTAGGAGCTGCCAACACGGGAAACTATTGAAGATCTCAGAGGTATCTAAAGGCTTTATAATTCCCTTTAAACTTTTGTTTGCTTGCCACAAAAAAAAAATTACACGGAGGACCCCATGGCAGGTTCTGTGGTGCCACATGTTAGGAGCTGAATGGAAAAGCTTGAGAGAACAAAATCTCAAGGGAATTCTAACAGACTAAGCTTTCTCAGCTGTCAGCCAAGCTGTTTGGGATGCAACCTTTTGGTCAGCATGCAAGTAGCTCTCCCCATTTTAACACAGGGAGATGAAAGAACCTTCCCCCCACGTTTTTGGGAAGCTCTGTGCCTCTGTAAAGCATTAAACCAGAAAGTCAATGCTTGGATCACATCTTAAATCCCTTAAGCGTCTCCTAACTGTAGACTCCTGTTGCGATTGTTGACTTTTAGCTCTGTAGTGTACACTCCAGCACACCTTGCTTTGCCTACAGTTCCAGTGCTTGAGATGTCTCAATAGATGTTAGTTTTGTTAAGGTTGATCACCATACAAACGGGACCGTTTAGGAATTGCGCAAAGCGATGTAACAAACTTCTGCTGCACTGCTTATTCTTTCTTTCCTCTCTCCCTAAGTGGGGATGATTCTGTAAAACATTTTAGGTTTGATATTAGCTGTTTCTTGAGCTATTTTCATTATTTAAATTAAATACCCATGCTGCTACACCTGTCCTTACCTGGAAGGATTCCAGCTCGCTTTTTAGTATTTCACATGTAGCTAACAAGAAGAATCTTTGCTTAGGAACTGTTTTAATCAGCTACATCATCTGTGCTTCCTTTGCTCTGCTCTGGATCACATTTTGCTAGCTAAAGATCATATTGCAATAATGCACGGTGTTCATGTTTGTGAGTCCTAACTCCCGTATGTTTTTTTATCAGGTGTTACGGTATTAGAAGACCAGGCTGCAGCACCAGTTTCATCTACCTCACCCTGTATCAAAGCAGATATATTACCTGTTTCTATAGCCTCTGCTTCAGGTGCCACCACATCAGCAATAGTGATAAAACCAGCTGCTATGGAAACACTTTCTGGTAATGGAATAAATGAAGAAGGAGGGAATGGACAGACGTATGGACATCGTGGATCCCAAGATATTCTTGTAGACAGAGATGTAGCTAAAAACTTCTCCAATATTTCTTCATCGCAAGGAGATATTTTAAGGACTGGAGTTTTTTCAGAGCCATGGGACACTGAAAATTCAGTTGTTTCAGATCATTTGAGTAATCCTAAATGCTACAAAAGAGAGAAATTGCCAGATGGATCACCACAGACAGGCTTTACAAGTAACTGCCCACGCTGCAATGCCATTGCAACCAAAGATCCCGAGCATGTGGAAAGTTCTTGCAATGCTGGTGATACCCATGAGGACCTTGATCGCTTGGACAGTGAAACTGCTGTTGCAGTGGTGGACAACTCTCTTCCTGGAGACCAGCTGTGTGAGCCCATTAAAATTGTCATCACAATGAGTACTACACCAAACACCACCCTCAGTGACCTAGCGGGCTCTGTCCACTTAAAGGCTCTGGGAACTGAGAGAACGAGCTCTGCCCTCGAGTCTGGTATAGTTACAGCAGGTTGGCCAAGTCAGCAAACTAATGAGCAGCTCAGAATCCCCGTTATCACTTTTGACCTGTCTGATGACAGTAAAGGTAAGGCTTGCCCAGAAGTTAGTGAAAGCGAAAGAACTCCAGAAATTTTAAAGTTAGAGTTGTCGTCCAACCAGTGCTCTGGCTATGAATCGGGTGATGCAGTAAGGGAACACAGCAACCCAGGAAATACTCCTTTAGAAACTAACACTTGTTCAGATCCAAATCAGGATAATGCCTCTGAAAATCTCCAGACTGTGGATTTAACTTCTAAAGAAGACCTGCGGAACCTAGACCCGCAGTCCTGTAGAACTGCTCACGAAAAGAGGCACATGCGGGTGCTGAGCGTAGACAGCGGGACAGATGTGCTTTTAAGTAAGAATTTCATGGAGGTATCTGACAAAGAAAAGACCTTACCAACTTCTAAATCAGATCTAGAAGCTAAGGAAGGACAGGTGCCCAATGAATCTAACTTTCTAGAGTTTGTCTCCCTCCTGGAATCCATTAATACCTCAAAGATGAAGGCATCCAATCAATCCATTGTCAAAATGGAGACAACAAAGGAAAATGGGCTTGTTGGAGGTATGATGCATGGTTTACAACTCGTTTGGAATAAAGACGTTGTGACTCGTTATGTTATCTATAGCAGCTTAGCCCGAGATCTGCAGTAGAGCAAATTCCCAGAGGAGAACTGGTTTTGCTAATAGGGCCAGGAAAGGGCTGGGCTTGGTGGGGCAAGGTGATTTAGTGAAAGTGTGATAGTGTCAGCTGCAGTTCTTCAAATATTTTTATTTTCTTAAAGATTTTCCTTTGGAAAACCTAACGCTAACCTCAGTAGTTGTCCGGTATGTACCTAGCATTCTGTACTAGAATAGCATGCATGTGGCAGGCCTGGACTATTGGAATACCAAAAATATCTTATGAAAATGTGTATAGCTATAGCATTACACCTGCCCTTACCCATCTTACCAGGTGCACATTGAAGAGTTGTCTATGTGTGCCTGTAGAAATCACATATATATGTAAGTATGGAATTGTCACTGGTGACTGTTCAACTATCAGCTAACGTGTGCACACACATGTTCCTAAACTTCCTGCACAGTTGCGGGTCAGTTTAAAATTTAAAAAAAAAAAAAATTGAAAAAACCCATGTATTTCTTTTCAATAGGTAATAGTTTTTATTTTTTTAGTTGCTTAAAACTAAAGTATTTGGGTTTTAAGGAGGAAAGTGGTGGTTTTTTTCAGTGAAAGCCTCCAGTATTTTAGTGAAAAATCGTATTTTCCCATGCATGTTCTCATTTGATCAAAATGGCTTTTGTTTAAAACAAAATCTAAATCAGTTAATTTAAAAACCTATATGCAATGCAATTTATAGGTTTTATATAGAAATATCTGGTTTTATTATGCATTCTCATTGCTGTCACCTAACTCTGTGACCCCTCTCTCTTAGGAAGGAATATTGTTTGTAAAGTCTTTAGCAGCTCTCTAGGCAAAACTAGCAGGACTGTTTCATGAGGATGCGAGATACAGTGCAGTGACGACAGGTGCAATCTCAGGGTAATTGCCAAGTGATTGGTGCAACCCGTTTAGATCATCTGAACCAAAGTGAAATGCGACAACCTGTATCTTCCCCTTCTCCAAAATGTTTAGTTCACCTTAGATCCTATAATAAGCTGTTGTAAGACGGCCTAAGAGGATGAAATCTCACTACGTATTTTGCACAGAATGTAAGAGACAATGGTGCTCAGCAGGACAGCTTGGCGTCCCTGTCTTATACAGATATCCCTATCCATAAACAGGCTGTAGGGAGCCTCTGCTCCCCGAGCTCATTCCCACAAGGACCTTCCATTACATGAAAAAAGCACAGCTGATGTCAAAGTTCGTCAGCCCTTGTAAAAACAAATGTGAAATTTGACTTTTACCCTGCAAAGATTTGTCTTCTTGATGTGTCATTTTCTTGTAGATGCCATTTACCTTTCACTCTGCCTTTCCTAAGTCTTTCCTCTTATGTGTCCTATCCAATACCTTACCTCATTCCATGTTTCATTTGTGTCCATTTTTTCTTCCAGTTGGTTTCTAGTTCTGTGCCGTCCCTTCCCCGTTCATCCCTTCTCAGTTTAGCCACTCCCTGCCTGTGCAACTTCTTTCCTCTTTGTATTGCTTCTCTCATCTTTTCCCTCCATTCTTCCTAGCAGTCCACACTGTTGCTTTTCTAGGCTTTTCCACTCTGTTGAGCTCACCTAAAGCTATCACCTCCCCACAGCCTGCATTTACTTCTCCTGTGCTTATGCTCCTCTGTATTCCCCAGCCACATTTTGCTCCTTCTGGGCCTGGTGCCTCTCTTCTGGTCTATCTTACCCATCTCTCCTGCCTTCTCAGCCTGTTTGCTCTGCAGAGCAGTTTCTGTCCTGCTCTGTCGAGTTTATCAGCCTGCCTCGCTGGCTCCAACCTGTGCCGTGTGGTTGCCCAAGATGTGTGCTGAGCAAGCCCTGCTTTTCACTGGAGCCTGCTCAGCTGATCCTCTGCTGAGTCTGGAGAGCCCTGCCAGGTCCCGCGGGTGCAGGGGGTCGGGTACAGTCGCCTCCCTGGCGCAACAGCACGCGGCAATAAGAGGGTCGCAGCAAGCAGATTGTGAGCTTTGCTACTCCTCAACCATAAAAAACACTATTTAGGCAATCATTTGTTTTCTGTGTAGCGTGACTTAGCTGGAAAAGAGAAATGATAAAAATTTCAGAGATAAGTTTAAATTAAAAAAAAAAAAAAAGGAGAGACTGCAGCCAATGTGGAAAGGGCTTTCAGTCAAATACTGACAGATAATATGAATGGGGAAGATTGCTGCATAAAAGAAAGCAATGGGTGATCGGAATAAATCAGACTCAGATTCCATAGTGACTGAAAAAGACAACCAAAAGAACCGCAAAACTTTATTAATGTGTGTGTAGTTATTGTGCTCTGGACCTGGCAAATAAGATTCTTATGGGAATCCAAGATCCTGAGGAAACAGAATGATTCTGTTCTTCCCTCAAACCAAGCTGTGATTAAAGTGACCTGAACTGAATTTCCTATTTTCTTAAGTCTATATGTTTGTGAGATGGTGAAGTTGAGCTGCATACATGTACGATTAAGTGTCCCTGCTCATTTCCAGCAGGGGCCCTGCAAGCATATCCCTGGGAAGGAGCGGTGCAGGAAGAGGGGTGCCCTGCAGGAGCAGGGATGGTGGCTGGGGCTCTTGTCGCTGGGAAGTGTCTCCTGCACCTCGGGCCAGTGCTGTGGGAAAAAGAGATTCAATCTGAACTCTTTAAGCTAGGGAGAGGTAGTTCAAAGGCAGTTATTTTTAAGAGCAAGTAGGCTTTGTTTTCTAGCCTAGTTGTAATATGCTGTTTGCTAAAATAAATTACTGTCATTACTGGCAGCTTCCCCACAGTAAGACTGGATTTTAGGAATGAGAAAGCCTCTAATTTGTTTACACCCTCACAATTACAAATATGCTTTAACAAACTAGCATCTTGGAACAGGTCTGATTAAACATTATTCCCACATTAAAGTGGTTGTTAATAAAAAAAAAAGGAAGGGGGGAATACAGAGCAAGTGAAGCTACATGCCAGTTGTTGAGGGAGGAGGTTGGTTGTGTTTGTTTTTTGTTCTTTTAACCTTGCAAACCACTTAATTGGCAAAAGCTAGTAATAGATGCCTGGTCCAAATGAGCATGAAATGCACCTCACAAAGGTGTTTATTAGGCAATGTGAGAAACTTGGCAAATTCCTGGAAAGCTGGATATTCAGAGCGGTGTGTGAGAAAGGTGACATTTTGCCTAATTTGGAGAAGGTGGGGAAATGTGCTCATCAGAACAGTCTTGCAAGTGAGTGAATGTCATGGATGACGCTTTGTTATGGGTGCTCCCTCACAGAACTTGTGAATTCTGTGGAAACTATTAGAATAGATATCGTCCTGACCATGTAAGCCTTTGCCAGTAGACAGCTCAGTAAAATGCAGTACAAGAAAATTAAAGCCTTGCTTTACCCTACCAAGGATGCCAGATTTAATGTGTTAAAATGCAGATCGTAAAAAAAAAAAAAAAAATCTAAGAGCTGTTCTGCTGCCACCCCACCTCTTCTAGATCGTGAGAAAGTACCACTGACACTGTTGCTAAAAATGACTTTCAGGCCAGTGTCCTTTCAGTTTTGAATCAAACTTGCACCACCCATGTAATGAGAGCCTGCTGAAGGGCAACTGCGAATTTTCTTCAGTCTTTGAGAACCATAAGGAAAGCTGAGTTTATTGGCTGCTTTGGAGCCCTCTGACATGTCTGGAGCTGAGTAAGAGCAGCTGTGCATCAGACTTATGCAGGGCAAGAACTCGTGCATGTCCCCTCTGGCACAGCTGGCTTGTAATCTAGGACAGGCAGTGTTATTGCCCAGGGAGCAAAGCCCTCCATGGGAGTGGTGGGGACCGGCACGGGAGAACCTAAACCAGGACCGCGTGGCCTGAATTTAGATGTTTTGCAGGTTATTTTTAGAAAAAGTACTCATCATTTTGGGCAGTGCACAAACCACAACCTTGAGTGAGTTCTTTTGGATCCCAAGCAATTACCCTTCTACAAAAAACCTAAAACGTACTCCTGTAGATATTTTTAGACTCCTCAGTTTTTTTCCTCTGCATGTGTGAAAAAGGGCTATCACCTGCTGTATAATCATGTGGAAGAGGGGTCTTGTTCATTGAGTCACCAGCCCAAATGACAGCCGTGGCGTGAGGCAACAGCAGGGGAGTTTGCTGGCAGGCGGGTAGCACCTAAGACACAAAGCCCTGCCAGGTGCAAGCTCTCAGAGCATCTGTGTGCCATCCCTGACTCTTATGCCAGAGAGGGACTGTGTGGCGTAAATGCCCCTCTTCGGATGGGGAGGAAATAGGGTGCAGAACTCAGTTCTCTAAATCTGATACTCAATGTGTGAGGCTTGATGGGCTGAGATTTTAAAATTTCAGTCTTTAAATCAGAGGTAATAGTATATTTGATGACGAGGCTCACCTCTCTAAAGAAACTAAGGTTATTTCAGAGGTCTGTGTTCTAACATAATTGTTAGGTATAATGATTGGACTACTTACCTGAGACCTCAAAAACCTTGATTTTGTTCCCAGCTGTGCTGCTGGCCTAGGAGATTGTTCTGAGCAAGTCACTTCTTTGCTTAAGTCTCCCTGCCCTGTAACAGGTACAGTGAGTATTGCTAGTTTTTCCTATCACTTTGGGATTAACGTGGTAATCCTGATTAATGGATAATCCCATGTGCTGCTTCCGTGCCTTTGTTGAACTTGATGGCAATTCTTGGACTGTGTCAGGTTCCCTGGGCACCATTGTTTGGTGAGTGACCAGCTTTAATGTCAGATTTTTATTTTAATGTATTTGTGGCATAATAGGCGAATTCAGGTTGAGAGTAAAGTACATAAGCCAGATGTTTCTGCTAAATCAGTCAGTGAAGGAAGGGTTGGGAATGTCCTTAGGACATATTCTCCAGAGGTACGAATGGGACAGTTCACAACTCGTACAGCTTTTGTTTCGTGCTGGTGCTAACAAGAGCACAGAGCAATTTGAAATCAATTATCTCTGTGGCCAAAGGGGCAACAAATATATTTTAAAGTGAAACTTTGTATTTTGGGGTGTTGTGTTGTAGAAGGCAGTAGATTCTGTAGCAGAGCAATTAACGAAGAGAAGAGACTCAGGCTTGGTTAGTTTAATTCTGCTTGACCAGATTTCTAACTAGATGGCATTTGAAATTATGACAACAGAGGCATTTTAACTTAGAGGAGTGAGTTGTGGAGATGAGTATAGGGTTATACAAGGAAGAACATCTGGGGGACTCTGGAGGGAAGGCACAAAAGATGTTTTGGAGACAAGTTACAGAGCAATAAAATTTCATTCTAATTACCTAGTAATAAGGCAACTTTCAAGTTGAGATACACTGACAGTTGGTTGTCATGATTACTATATGTACAAAGGCTGCTCTATTTCAACTGTAGAACTGTTTTTAGCCTCCTCCCAGTGTGGACCAAAGGCTCGTCTATGAAGATGTTTTGGGGTACTTAAAATCTGTTCCATAAATGAAAAAGTTACATGGCAAAGGAAAATTTGGTAGTGTAACTGCATTTAAATTAGGAGCTGATTTGAAAGCGTTGGGATGTTATATTTTTAAGTAATGTTGCTATGCTGTTACAACTCTTTAGTGCAGATAAAACTGTTTACAGGAGGTATCTTATACCTGTATGGGACATATAAGAAATGTTTATCTTGGTAAGGATTTTACCAGTATGACTAAAGAACTTATCTTGTGCTCAACCAAAATACAAAAATGATATACAGACCGAAACTTGGTTGTTTGTGCAGGACTCTTCTGAATCACCATTCCCCAAGCCTGACTTAGCTATGAATCCTGACAGTTACGCCTTATGTATCTGAGTCATGTGGCATATAATTTCCAGATAAATTATGAAGTTACTTGCAGAGCCTGGGCCTGAGGGGCTTCTGCGAGCCTGGCTGTGTGTACACCAGAGATGTGTGGATCAGTGGCTTGGGGTAAATGGCTCTGGTAGGAGGCTACAGCAAAGGTGCAGGTACTCTGCCATGTGGTGTTTTTTACTCTTCTCTTGCTCTTGGAGAGGGTTTTTCCTAGTAACTTGAGCTTTGCCAGCACAGCTTCCACGCAAGGAGCGTTTGGTGACGTAGAGGTGATTACGTACTGTGGCAGAACACTCCTAGTCTAGACACCTCTATCTCCATTTAAATACTGAAGGTGTAAGTCACTCAGAAGAAAATGGGTAATTATGAAAACCAGTCACAAACCCATCATGGCCCACCTTTCCAGTGCTGGAAGTACTCATCACCACATTGTCTGATTGGCATATAAAGCCTGTAAGAAGCAGTATGTTTATGTTTTTATTATTATGGCTCTCTACCACTGCAGGGAAAAGAAGTCTGCAAGGCTTGTGGTTTGGAATGGAAAAGAGAGGCATTCTCTAAAACCACTAGATAATCAAATTAAAAAAATCTTTTTAATTGTTCCAGCCCTAGAGCTAGTTTTGGGCAATGTGGGACCAATTAGATTATTAAAACCACAGTTTCTGATCTATATCAATTATTCTTACAGCTTGAACAGCCCAAGCATTTAGGAAGGTGATTTTGATTAGGTGTCTGTGGTTCCGTCACCTCCTGCAGGTACATCCCTCATCATTAAGGTGATGCTTCAGTAATGCCACAGTTAAATAAGGCACATTTTCTGCTTAAAAAGGAGTTTAAATCTTTAATTAGGAAAGGAAAAAAGTGTTGTCTGCTCCCCTCCCCACTTCTTCCCCCCCCAGTGTAAGAAGAAAGTTGGTCTGTGCACAACAGATATAAAAGGTTTCCCTAAACCAAACTTAGACTCATTGTATTTATTGCACTAGAAGTCAGGATCCTTGGTTGTCGTGTGCTACAGAAAGAGAGCAGGAGACTCAGAATATTGGCAGTTTTGTAGTGAGATTCTTTTTTTTTCTCCTTGTGGAAGCTGAAGGAACGCTGCTGTTCCAAGCAAGAGTTACACGGTGCCTTTGTCTCTACTGCCCGTTCCCTCTCACTTCTGGTACCCTGACTGGTGAGTGTCTGGGGCACCAGTGAGACTCTTCAGGCTTGGTGCTGCTTGTTGTGGTTCACATCAAGGGCTGAGACCTGCTGGGACAAGATGTGATGGTACAGTTTAAATTGTTCTTATGCTCCTGGATCCCCCCAAAGTAAGTGGGAAGTGTCTGCAGTGAAAAGTGGTTTATGTGCAAGTGTCTGAGGCTTTAGGGTATTAGAGGGGTGTGTCCTGTGAATTGAAACTGGTGTAGAGATGTCTTAACTCCTGAAGGTAGGTTTGTTTGTAGAAATATGTTATTAGATCAGCCGATGTGGTTGGAGGAAAACAAGACAGATTATCTGAAACGTCTGCATATGCAAAAGCTTGTTTGCTTTTTTCAATTGTATCAGTTAGCCTAATAAAAGATATTATATCTCTCTACAAGCCTTGAATCTGTATTATCCTTAGGCCATCTTAGCTATGACACCACTGTTTCTTGACTGGTGACTCTTGAAGGTTAGCATGGTAATTGTATTGGTAGGAAATACGGTTTAACAAATTAAACTTTTTGTGAGGGGAATTTCTGTGGTTTTTTTCTTGATGATTAAATTTCTAAGACATTTAAACAGCAGGTGTTGCAAGAAGTCTGGGTAAGTGTATTTTGGTACACCTTGCTTAACGTAAGAAGCTACAGGACTCACTGAAGCATCTTCAACAAGCACTATAAAAGCATTTTTTTTCCATTTAAAGCATTTAATTGTGTGACTGCACATGGTGGTGATGAAATCACTGTCTTGGTTGCGCTTTAAAATCCTAATAGATAATTTTTTTAGTTTACAGTCAAAGCACAGTTGCAAAATATTTTACTATTCAACATGAATGTTAGTAACTAAAAGACTATTGCTTGAAAGTTGTACACATATATAAGTAAATGACATATGTATATAGAGAGGTAATATAAATATAATTGGCATTGAAATTGGTACGCAAAGTATAGAAATCAGACAAGTCCATCGTATATTTTTAAATCTGTAGTTCTGTATTTTCCAAGCGTAGGAAAATCTATTGTGAAATGTTTAGCTGTTTGTCCTTCCTCCTGCATCAGGTGTGTGGCTGGTGGGGAGGAGGGATTAGGCAGCTACCTGCTTTCCCATGCTAGAGCTGTATTTCCTTTGAAGGTGCTCCTTTCTCCTTTGTAAAAGGCAAATGGGCCAGTGCTTCTGCTTTTCTACTGCCAGTATACACAGCTTGGGAACAAATTACGGCCCCCAGGGAAGCAGCCTCCTACCATTCTAGGTTAGGGACAGATTGCTTCCCTCTGAAACAATAGGAGAAGCAAAGCAGAAATTCTTTCTCATTTGTCCTTCGCTTCACACAGCCTGTTCTTGAAACAACCCATTCACTCAGCCTCCTTGAGTCAGTACCTCCTCATCCAGATTTCTGTGATTGTATTGTTTTAAGTAATTTTAATGTTTTCCATAAAACTAGAAATTACTGCAATGTTTTAGCTTTTCTCTTTTAGATGCTTTAAATGAGTGAAACTCTTGACAGTCATCTGTGGAGAGTGGCTCCACTTCACTGCCCTGTTTTCCAGATAGCCAGATGACGGAGAGAAAAGAAGAAATGGTTGGAACAGAAAAGCACTGTGAGCAACTTCCTAAACAGGAAAGATCAGATGTACAAAGCCAAGATCGTGCTAGTACTAGTCCGGTGCTACCAGAGTCTGCCAAATTTGCAGCACTGTAAGCCCAGTTTACTTTACAGTTTTATACTTCAAAGATATGATGTAAGCTGTTTTGTTTCTCTCAGTAGAAATGACATAAACTTTTAATTAACCTCTCTTTCTTTTTGTTTTATTGAGAACAAGAAAAAAGTTCCTCATAGTAGTTTTGAAACATTTTTGTGTCAAGTTACCAGGGCAACAGGCAAAGGCAGATAATCTACCGGGTAACTTCTCAGCAAGACAGTTCTGTCTTGCAAGTAATAAGTGGACCTGAGGCGTCTGTGCAAGATGAGCTGTCTGTGGATGCAATGCACGTGTTCATAGATGAAAATGGTGAGTTTCTGTAGTTGGAATAATTGCAATGTGTGAGGAAATTTCTGAAGAAACTTGGATACTCTGGAAGGATATTTCTCGTCTGTTACTGATCGCATGTTTTAATGTGTGCATGAAAGAAAAGGGCTTAGTAATTTAAAGTCAGATCAGCAATAACTAAATTTTTCAAAATCTGCCAGCGACCATCACAGACAAACTTACGCAGTGCATAAAGTTTATCTTCCAAACTCATCCTTAAAAAATGCTGGCTAGGCCAGAAGACTACTTCTGTCTTTGCAGAAGAACCCTTGGTGTTTCGTGCCTGGTGAGAAGTTTTGCCTTGACCTGGCCGGGCAAAAACACTCCTCCTTTTTACTGTTTTGTTCTTCAGCTGGATCAGACTGAACTCGTGATAGTGTGGTGGTTGCCTGCTCTTCGACTTGTGGTCTGCTACCCCTTTCAAGAGAATTAATGAGTGACTTAGTCTTGCTCCATGCCTGTGCTTGGTACGCCGCTGCTCTGCAGCTATTCCTAAAGGCTGAAGCTGTGATGTAGCTGGTGGTGGCTTGTCTGAACTCTGTGTAGTGCCCTGTGAGGTACTGGCCCATACATCTGAAAGGCAGCTGTCCCAAAAGCTGTGTTTCCCTTAAAGCTGCCTTCAAAACCAGTGTGGAATGAGTGTTTGTGGTGGCTGGGTTCATGATGCCAGAGGTGCTTAAGTTTTCTACTGATTCCTCCAGGCCCTGCTCGCAGCCCTGCAGCTCCTGGTGTGCTGTGGGGCTAAGAGCAGCACCTGCCAGTCAGCACATGGCATGACCTCTGCATCAACGAGCAGTGACCCTTCACTTTTTGTTGCATATGCAAGGAGGGGGTAGCAGTGGCTACACTTTTAGTAGAATTTTTTCCCTGCTTGATACCTCCTGACCTCACCTTTGTTAACTACAAAAAAAAAATCTGATGATTTCACATTTTGCAGTGAACTTACATTGCTGGATGGGCTTTGCATTTACTTTATGTGCCTTTTAAATTTTCACTGTAACTTCTCTGTTTTGATTTGTCTCAGGTTTTCAGTTGTTCAAATATTAATTTGCTTTCTGAAGTCTAAAATAAGCCTAATGCACGGACTGAAAGCTGTATTTATAAATGTGCCTGACCTATAATGTGTTTTTTATGAGCTTTGTGTGTAAAATAAATGATCATATCACTGAACTGATTTTTTTTTGGTCTGTATTTTCTAAAGGGGAAATTAGATCCTGTTATTTAAAGGCTGGCCGTCAGAAGGAAGGAAATTTTCGACATCAGCTATCAAACTGTGATTGTATTTCAAATGCTCAGTAAGTAAGCCCTTATTTTTAGAAACATTAAAAGTTTTCATTGCTAGAAGCTATGAAACTGATTGTAGCTGTGAAAGATGCATGTGAAGAGGAGTACTGAGAAGTAAATGTACTAACCTCTTCTAGAGATGTCAAAGCATGCATTTTTTTATTTTGTGCTAAAACAGTGACTGCTTTGTAAGAATTTTGATACGGTAAAGTGAAAAAGAAAACCAGAACTATGCAATGTGCTTTCATTACTTTCTGGGAATAGCTGAAGTCAAGTGTGGTGATTATAAATAAGACTGTAAATAAAGCAAAGTGGGACTGTTACCAGCTGTTCTCTCAACCTTGTCTTGCTCGCTTCCCATGCCTGCTGGGTCCTTTGTAGATTTTTAGTGCTGTGTCAGTATCAGCCAGTGACACTGCTTCCTGTGGATTCTAGTAACAGAGCCTTTCACCTTGTGTGAAATCTCTAATGATAGCTTGCCACTCTGAAAAGGTAACTGAACAGTTTTCTTTTTTCAAAGGTCTTTTTGGAGTAATCCACATAAATCCCATATTCATTACTGTGGTTTCCACACTCTCCTATGTGATCTGTTGTTTGCATATCTGTTAAAAGAATTTTAACTATTCATAAGTATTTTTATTAAATAATTTTGTTTTCCATACTCTTATACAGCATTTGGAAAAGGTGAGTGAGAGGGTGAGAAGGGTCATTGTTAATAGTAAATACTGTTCTTCGAATGTTTGGCTTTCAGTGGAGACTTTTGAAAAGTGTGGGACCATGTTAAGAACAGTGTTAGCATTTTAGATAGAATGCTGTTTTGAGAGACATGAGAATAATGCTTTTAATAGTCTGTGGGTGAAGATTAAAAAAAAAAAATATTTGAGTTCATCTACAGTAGAAATGTTTCCATAAGTCTTTAGCAAAATACAAAAACTCCAGCCTGGTAGAGTTCAATTTTGACCTAAAAATCAAACATTTTGCTTTGGGTCTATTTAACTCTTGCAACTCTCTTCATTTCACCTTGGACAGAATACTCCCCTCCTCCCCAATCACGTAACTATGAACTTGAATCTGTCCTACATTCAGAAATAATTTACTGTCCCCTGACATTTATCAGTTAATCTGTTTTTTAATCAAAAGAACAATAATCTTCCTTCTCATATAAGATGTCCTTCTGAATCTGTTTGTTAGATGCTTATGTGACATCTCTGTCTTCCTGTACTATGTTAAGTGCTGGTTTTAGGTTTTTGGTTTGCAGACCTTTAGGGATGTGTATTATTTTTAAGGGGTCTGCTGCATGTTGTTAACAAAAGCACGTTCAGGTATTTTTTGCAGCCATTTACATGCATTTAATTTCTGAAGATCAGCACCTTTGCTGCAAATCTTGGAGTACAGTGACTGTTCAGACTGGGGAACAGAAAAAATTTGCAAAGACGAGTGGTTTCCCAGGACTGTTTCTGTATGGGAGACAATGGTAGGACACACAAGAGCTTTTCCAAGAACAGAGCAGTATGGAGGAAACTACAAAGCAGAAGTTCACATGAAAAACAGGGAAAGAACATGAAGCGTGCTTGAGGTGGTTTTTGCAAGGGCAGTTTAGGCCAGAGAGATTAGTGAGAGCTGTTTGTTCAGTGGGCGGTTTCTACCATCTGTGCATAGATTGAAAGGTAGCACAGGAAGGGTTTTTGTTTTTCATGGAGGTGTTTACCATCAAGTAGTTTTGTGTTAAGACAATGTGGAACACTTACAGCATATAGAAAATAGAGGAGCAAATCTGCTTTAAAGACAAGTTCAGGAATCAGGCATCATTTCTTACCCCTTTCCCCTATCCCCACCTGCAGGCATGCACATCACTTAGGTTAGTTTCTTATCCATGGTTACAGATAAGGCAAATAGTCACTGTTATTAACTAATGATCTTTTTATTACTGAGGAAAAAGGCAAATAGGATAAAATAAAGCGCAAGGCATAATTGGTGACCACTTCAGCTACAGTCTCTTTTATATGTCTATCTGTGGAGAGCTCTTGACAGAAATTATTCCCTTGAGGGTGGGCCCTCCTATGGTGGAGATGTTCATTGTGTGAGTAGTCCGTACCAACAGGAAATGCTGCTATTATGGAAGGATATTAGAATAGAGACACAGAAAGCACCTCTGAGATGTCCTTGATTTATCTCCCAGCCCATCAGAAAGTTAACTAAGGAGAAGACAATGATTCTTGACAGTACTTCTTAATGAATACTTGAGATGGTGCAGAAGCAACAGCTTTAGGCTTGGTGTCTGAATCCATTAATGAGCCATCCAAATCAGATTTTTATGAGGTCAAAGGATTCAGGAGAAAATTAATGCCTGGCCATCAAAGATGGCATCCTCCTTGAACAGGAGGGGCTAGGGTTTTTATCTTGGGGAGCCCAGATTTCAGAATCTAGAATAAGTTTATGGAGAACAATAGATAAGTACGCAGTAGATGTTAAAGCTCTTAAAACACTTTTCACCAGTCATGCTTGCTATATAGTGTTAATCTTAAGCTGCTCTTAAAGAGAAAATGTCAAACTGAGTTGAGCCAGTGGAGAAGCTATGTGGATAAGCATGGACTGTGCACTGATGTGCTCCTCTATGAGAAGAACTGGCCCAGGCCAGGTGATGGCAAGAGGCCTCTTGCTTTGGGGTGGTTGTTGGGAGAAGCAGCATATCAGAGGCACTGGCATGCCAAGAGCTGTGGCAAGGGGGTGAAGGGGGAAGGAATTTTGACTGGAGAGGGTATGAACTCTGGCTCGTTTTTCAAGAATAATGTAATTGCCTTATGAATTGGCCATAGGTAAATACCATTTCACTAAGTTATGCAAAACTGGAGGAGGTATTTAAATATTACTCAAAAGAAGCCTTCATTAAAGAAAGCCTTGAGGCAGACACACTAACATTTAATGATCTTAAATTCAAATTATGACTTGCTATTTCTGTCTATTGAGTCCTACTGTTGTCTGCTCCAGTAGTGAAGTCTTAACTGGTCTGGCATTTCACAACACGTTATCAGGAACTGAAATTAAAGCAGTATTTCTATGGCCTGTAAACATTTTCTCTTCTTGGCATGGCTTCTGAAATCCATTTCTTGCAAAATCCTAACAGTTCAGCCACAGAAGTGATGCTGTGTAATGGTGTGGGGTTTTTTTTGTTCTTTGCTTTTGCGTGCTTCCTGCTCTTCCTTTGCTTGTAAAGGGCCCAGTGGACAACAATGGATGACATTGTGCCAGAGAAAGCAGATGTCCAGGTTTGAAAAATCCTGTGTTTTCTTTCTTCAGAGGATCCTTGAAATGGAAGCAGTACTGTTTGAGGGAATTACACTTTGTCTTGTCAAAAACCAGTGGTCCATCACCTCTTTGTGGCTCTGCAGTGTTGTGAGGTGATCTTTGGAGTATTCTCCAGTTTATCAATGTTAATATGTATTTTTATATTAATATATATTTTTCTTCTTTTATTTATTTTTTAGTTTTATCGTTTGCATTTTCAAATACAGTAGTTGTGCTAATGAAAGATATTACCTGTACCTGCAGTCCTTGTCCTGGAGATTTTCGAAGCTTCTTAAATGTACCATAAACAGTCTCTTATGAATAATTTCTAAAATTATCCCTTAATTCTGCCAAAGGTTACTGAGAATTAAAATTATTTTAAATTGTCTCCATATTTGTCTCTCACTGGTCCAGCAGTCCAGCTTTTAAAATATTAAGAAACTTAAGTTTGCCAAGTTAAGTTTAAAGGAGGTTTTTATGTTATAATGATCACCAAAAAAGGATAATTCCTTTTCCATCTTAACCCTCACTTTGGCAGGTGATTCTTATTACTGAGTTTGGTAAGTTATTTAAACATTGGCAGGTAGCTAATCAATTCCCCAATTATTGCCCATGTAATTACCCTGCCCCCACTTTTGTCTGTTACCTTGCCAGCGACTTCTCTTGCCAGCAGTCCCTGTGGAATGGGATCCCTGCTGAGCTAATTGCCCCTAAATTTGATGCTCCCATTACCTTGCCAAGTTCACCTCTAGCCATAAAGTGCTTTGTGACAGGCTTTGACAAGACAAAGTGTAAACTGTATTCTCAGCTCACGGATTACGTTAGAAATTAGTTACAGGAAGACCATTTTGAATCTGTTTTGGAAATTGGAAATAGGTTTCTCATTGTGAAAACCCTTCATTGCATTAAGTTCTTAACCATCATTCTCTTACAGTGAATCCTTAATGTTTCTATGCTGTATGTTTTGAGGAGTCTAGGACAACTCTCCGCAGGGATAACTCTCCATGGGCCAGCAGATTCCAGTGGTCCTCCCCACCATGTGATGCCACGCTGGTCCTTCCTGCAGGACCAGGTGTGGGGAAGACTGGCGCAGAGCACCAGGGAGGACCTCAGTCCCCACCGCTGCAGCACTTCTTCCCCATCCGCCTGACACATGTGGCAGCACCAGCACTGCGTATACACGAGCAGAAACGGATCTAGGATGGTTCAGCTCAGCAGTGCTCAGGCGACTGGCTTCCCCCCCATGCTCGGATTTGCTTCCCCCACTGCTTCCCCCCCACCTCCCCTGCCGCTCACTCCCCTGCCTGCGCAGCATCTCCTCCTCCTCACCCTAATGCAATGCATGCTGCAGGCACGGCAGGAATGAGCTCATAAGTGGTCTCCCATCCGCCTCCTGTGAGAGACTGCTCGCTGCCAGGTGCTCGGGGCTCTGCATGGTGTTGTGCAGAGCCCTCACCGATGTTTAACAGCTTTGGAGCTTGACGCGTGCCAGGAAGGACCAGTGCCACAAGGACTGGCAGAATCTGCCACCCCATGCAGAGTTGTCCCATTCTGATTGCTAACTATGCTTCAAAAAATGCAGAAGGTGCTCCGCACAAAATCCTGATATGGATGTGTCCATACCAACCTGGAAATTCTGTCTGTGTTAGCTGAGAAACTGGGATGTGTGTAGCTCCAAAAAGAAACGGGTTTTTGAGAAGGCTTTTTTCTTAAATAGAAAAAAAAG